CCTTCCCTTGGCCGACCTCCGAAGCCTGCGGTTTGCCTTCCCTTGGCCAACCCCCAAAGCCTGCGGCGCCTTAACTACAAAGTCCATGGCCCATGTGTGGGCCAAGTATTGGTTTGTTCAATGTCGGTTATATACTTCCAAAAAAAAAAAACGGAAAGAAGGATGAAGGCTAAAAGCTTATTTTTTCTCCTCTTTCTTTCATTGCTTTTGGACGAGTAATCTTGCCGCCAGCTCCGCACTTCTATACCGACCGGTGAAAATGAAGGTCCCAAACCCTCTTCTTCCGTAATCTTCCAGGGGAGGGAGGAGGGGAGGCAGGGATAGACAACCATTTTCCCAACCAGAAAGCCGTTTTCAAATCCGGTTTTGAAGCTCTCTCCCAACCTGGGACCAAGTCCCACTACCAGCATTGAACTCCTCAACACCCGAACCTGGACGTGTTTGTCGAGATGTGCAGTTGAGGATACTCAACGCCACTTTCTGCATACTGCATATCACTTGAGGATTCTCAACGCCACTTTCTGCACATCTTACTGCATATCTCCACAAACACGTCCAGATTCGGGCATCGAGGAAACTCAACGCTGTTAGTGGCAGTTGGCCCCGGGTGCAGAGCTTCTCTCACCTGGTTCCAACTCTCTCTCTCTCTCTCTCTCTCTCTCTCTCTCTCTCTCTCTCTCTCTCTCTCTCTCTCTCTCTCTCTCTCTCTCTCTACCCCCCCCGGGCCCGCAGAATGGAGGGAGGATGGAGAGTCACCTTTTCCCGAGCCAGAACGTTGTTTCCAGATCTGGTTCCAAACGTGTTCCCAAACCAGGTACCGAACCTGGTCCGGACCTCGTGCGGAAGGTGTGTTCCAAAAAGTCCCAATTCTATTCCAAATCTCTTCCCGTCTGCACCCGGCTCGATAACGCTTCTCACGTGGAATTACCGTGGTACTCGGTCAAGCTCTATCAGCACCGAGCCATCCGCCACCACGTTGAAGTTAGCTCCCTCCCTCTACCCAACGAATAGTGAAAGCGTTTATAGACCTGGCCTGCCCTGTACAGAAACCGGTATGAGAGAATTGTCTCTAGCGTTGATGCCCCCTCCCGCCCAAAAAAGGTTCTGGCGTCGATGCAGAAGCTGTCAAAACCAGTGCTCTGGGTATATACTTGGTTCCGAAGCTAGTCCCGAACCAAGTTTGCGGATCTGGTCCCAAACCTGGTTCCGAAGCTGGTCCCGAACCAAGGTTACGGAGCTGGTCCTAAACCTGGCTCCGAAGCTGGTCCCAAACCAAGTTTGAGGATCTGGTCCCAAACCTGGTTCCGAAGCTGGTCCCGAACCAAGGTTGCGGAGCTGGTCCTAAACCAAGTATGCGGATATGGTCCCAAAACAGGTTTGCGGAGCTGGTCCCGAACCAAGGTTGCGGAGCTGGTCCCGAACCAAGGTTGCGGAGCTGGTCCCGAACCAAGGTTACGGAGCTGGTCCCGAACCAAGGTTGAGGAGCTTCGGAAACTTGGTTTGGTCCCAAACCTGGTTCCGAAGCTGGTCCCGAACCAAGGTTGCGGATATGGTCCCAAAGCAGGTTTGCGGAGCTGGTCCCAAACCCCAAACCAAGTTTCCGAAGCTGTTACGTCTGAACTGAGTGAGACCTCGATCTGGCCGTCGTTCCCCGAACATAACGCACCCTGATAGGTCCGGTAGAGGCAAAACGAGGGTGCGTTATGTTCGAGGGAAGACGCCAAGCGGAAAGATCCGCTCTACGCGAGTGCCTGGGTGGTGCTCTGACGTGGCGTCCGGTAGTGCCACGTATGCATCTTCTTCTTCTCCTTGCGCGGTTCATCTTCCATCCGCATCTGCTAACTGGCCGACAGATCCTTCTGTTGCCCCTTGTTTTCCTGTTATCTTCCTCTTCCCTCTTCTTCCCTCTTCTTCCCTCTTCTTCCCTCTTCTTTCCACTTCTTCCTTCTCCCTCTTCCTCTTCCTTTTCTTCTTCTTCTTCTTGCCTATTCTTTCCCGTCGCCGTCCGTCGCGGTCCCGATCATGTCGATTATAAGAGAAAGCATGAGAAGGAGAGAAGAGGACAAATGGAGCCCAATGAGAAGGAGAGAGAGAGGACAAGAAGAACAACGAGACGCAAGCGGAGGGGGGTAAAAAAAGAATCATCCTGAACAGAAAACGAAGGCCTGTGACCAAGCGACAGGGGGGAAACATCCCATCGAAAGAACGACCGGTCGTTTATGTGAACGACCAGTAACTTGTACTATTACTACCGGCCGTACAACAATCTTTACTGCAATTCTCTCGGCCAATCGAGATCGAAGACACAAAGAGAGAGAGAGAGAGAGAGAGAGAGAGAGAGAGAGCAGAGAGAGAGAGAGAGAGAGAGAGAGAGAGAGAGAGAGAGAGAGAGAGAGAGGATGGGATCAATTATCGTTTTCTACTCCAGTGAAAGAGCAGAAGGAAAACGACGCCACGTGTGCATCATCATCCGGAGTCCTCCTCCAAGGTGATGGTCAGCTCATCGGTCGCCGACTTCTCTCTCCGTACCGTAAGCACGACTTTCTCTCCCACCGCCTTCTCCTGCAGGACCTTGTCGAGATCCCGAGGGGCTTTGATGGGGGACCCATCAACGGCCACGATCACGTCTCCGGGGATGATGTTCCCGCCAAGACCCCGGCGCGTCGGCAATAACCCTGCTTTCGCGGCTGCGCTATTTGGCGGGACGGCCAGTACCAGCGCGCCAAATGGTATCATCAATTGCCGCGCTGCCGCCTCCGGCGCGATCTGAACGTTCAGACTCGGCCTCATCACTCGCCCGAACGCGACTAATTGGGGCACCATCCGTGCCACCGTGGCAACTGGAATAGCAAATCCTACACCGCTAGACGTTCCAGATCTCGTAAAGATGGCAGTATTGATACCAATCAATCTACCTTTTGAATCGAGCAAGGGTCCCCCGCTATTACCTGGGTTGATGGCGGCGTCGGTCTGAATCCCCCCACCAATAACCAATCCCGTCCGGCTTTCTATGTCTCTGTCCAGACCACTAATTACCCCCGTGGTTAGGGTATGATCGAAGCCAAAGGGATTGCCGATTGCAAGGCAGCGTTGACCCACCCTCAGCCCCGTTGACTGGCCCAGAGGAATGGGGCGAAGCTGGCGCTCTGGCGGGATGTCAATCTTTAACACCGCCATGTCGTACCGTTTGTCCGCTCCGACCAACTCCCCCTCGTACGTGCTCTGCGTTCCGTCGTCGTTTAGCACGGTCACCCTCGCTACCTTCGTTCCTAAGGGGGGGTTGAGCTCCAAAGCATTGCCAATCACGTGGTAATTAGTCACAATACGCCCCTTCTTGTCCCATATGAGCCCCGAGCCATTCCCTTCGGGGATTTCGACGGAACCCGTCATGTTCACTTGAGGTCTCAGGGTCACATCGAGGATATTAACGACGGAGTAGGTGCTCTGTTCGAATAATCGAACGGTGGCCAGCTCGGACGGTGTGAGCTCGCCACGTGGCGTCACCTCCCTCGCCACCTCTTCCAGGGTGAAAGCCGCCGCCGCTCTCTCCGCTGCTTCCGCCCTTTTTCCCCGCCCGCCAACCCCTGTCTCTGCGCAGGTGGCAATCCCCGCCATCGCCGTCGCCGCCGCGAATAGCATCGTCCTTCTTCTGGACATAAAACCGCCGCCGCCGTCATCGCCGCAGCTGCCGATGCTCCTGCTACTCTTTCCGTCCTCTTCTTCTCCCCTTTCCCGCCATATCCAAGACGAGCGCGCTCCATCCTCTCCTTTCCAGTCCCGCAGGACCGCGATATTCTCCTCTCCCTCTACCCGTCTCTGGGGCCCTGCTCCTCCTCCCAAGGCCGTCACCCCCGCTGCTATGGCATCCCTCTCATCTGGGCAAGCGCACGTGAGCGCGCGCCGTTCTCCCGCCAAAAACCGCTTGCCAGCGCGCTGCCATGCGCTGCTGCCGCGCGGGACGTCGTCGCGTCGTCGGGGGGATGGCGATGCTGACCCCGTTTCTCCTGCTGCTGGTCGGTACGCGTGGACAGCATCCTTTCTGCTTCGCGGCGAGAACGCCACGTGTCCAACGGCGGGCGGGAAGGCCACGTGTCGTCGAATTGGTGTCGCCACGACTCTGGGATCGGTCCCGCCCGCCGACCCAGCCAATTGCAACCGGCTACCGGTCGTCCAGTCGGTCCCTAGCGCGCCGTCCACTACCGCACATCGGACGGCAGTCGCCATCCCTGTCGCTCATTGGGGGACACCCGAAGCCGGGTGGGAGAGAGGGGGCCCCGCCAGGGGGGTAAGGGGGCTGACCGGAGCGGGGGGGGGTAAGGAGGTGCGGAGTGCATTGGGTGGTGCCACAAACGGCAGATATATCCAACCTCCCGTTGCCTCAGGACCTCGCCGCACGGCAGAAGAAGCGAAAATAAACGAGTGCATCTGGCCACAGGATGCTACAAAATACAGTCGTTACTATCTTATGGGAAAGGGAATGAATGATCGGATTTCCTGTGGGAAAATGCACTCGTTTCGTTCTTCGTTTTTTTTTTTTTTTCTTTGCTTTCGTTCTTCGTTTCGTGTGCGGTGCGGCCAGGCACTTAGCCAAACTATCAGAAACAAACGAAAAAGAAAAGGGAAT